ATATGTTTTACAGTTTTGTTTTTGCGAATTGAATAACATAAGCAGCATAGCCATTTTTCGTTATTACTAACATATTTACATAATTCCGTAGCGGAGTTTAAATTTTATCAAATCAGTTATCGAACTTAAAAAAACAAAGGCCATTGTAGAGGCGGTGGGGCATATTAGACACGGGGAATATTAGGTATGAATCACTTTATGTTCAAGTCATATTTTTTATAAACGTGTTATTTGATTTTATAGGTCTCTCGGATGAAAAAAATAATACTACAAATATGTGATATAGATTGTTCATCGCTATCTATTATAAATATATGTATATGAATACACATACATACGTATTAGCTAACTTGCATCAATATGTTGTTAGGTGAATCAGAATAATAAAACAACAAGCACCAACACCTATAGTGATTTTTTATCATAAAATTATAGCGTAAAACACTTGTTTAAAAAACACATGGATTTTTATTTGTTAAATGTTGTAACCATGTTAGAGTTAAAATATAAATCTAAGACTTCGCCTGTAAGTGGAGATAAAAAAAATCGTATGTATTATAATATATGTATACAACTAAACAAGCGCTACAAATCCTACACTCCGTTAAAATTTGATAATGTTTTTATGCTCCACTTGAATTAGACCAACAACATTTAGCACAGTAGACTCCACTTATTGGACTCACTGTTAATATACTGTACTATAATATTTATTACAGGGTGATCCATCAGGTATAAGACTAATTTGCTTGGAAAATATGAATATTTATAATTATTATTATTATACGTATTATAAGTTTGTACTTAGTTTTTTAAAAATGGAACATATGTCTTTAATTTGGTAGTATAATATCTTAAAAAATTAAAATGCTAACACTTTCTAATATGTTTGTCTACATATTTATACAGATGGCGGAGGCCGCCCGTAATTAAGGCTTCATCCTTTTTAGAGATCTTTCCCATGTGGCTTTTATCCAAGAAAAATTCTGCAAGGCATTAAAACTTCTTTTACCTGATCCCTCATTTGATTTTTACTTCCTCATTGTTTCACGTCGATTTCTCCTTAATTCTCCCATAACCCGTCTGATGACTCTAGCAAATACTGACATCACCTACTATTTTTGCTTAACACGTTGGCTACCATGAGTGTAGGTACCCAGGTTCTCTCACCACTCACGCTTTTGTGTACCCTGTCAATTGTTAAAGTCTCTCTCTGTGTACCAAGTCAATAGTTTATTAAATATTGTTGATACAAAAAATATTCTAAGATGAAAAATGCTTTATTTTTGAACGCTTATTAATTATCCATCAACAATTATCTGAGAGAACCCTCACACGTAATACAATTGTACATAGGGAGCATTGAGCAGTATATTTTTTTATAATTTAGGTTATAGATAGATTATTATTCTCCTTGAACATTCGTTTTGTAATTTTTAAGATTTATTTATTACTCTCGTGTGTGAGATATCATATCATCTTACCGATTTTGGAGGTCTTATCTCAAATACGATGACCGACCTTAAGTGCGGGTTTATCGGCCAAAGTGATTGTCCAACTACTAACCACTCTTGAACAATCCATATCGAATATCACGGGTAAAATGCCAAATATTGGATCGACAAGAAACACACATAAAAGTAATTTGGAAACCCTTGTACTGGAACAATAGGGTAAAAGTGAGGTCGATATCATTAGAGTATGACGTACATTTTTTAATACAGCTGAAATACTGATACTTAATAGTGAGTATAGCGTTATGGTCGTGATTAATTTTACTAATTTGACTTCTTAACCTTTTTCGGGTACATACTTCTAAATAGTTTTAAGAATAATATTCCGGTGATACGTTTTAACTCCACATTAATTCCCATTTCTAAAGTAAAATTCATTCATTTGAGTTGTTAGGTTACATTGCGTACTTACATCGGTTGTATGTTTTTCAACACGACCGGATTTGTCCAACGCTTATTTTGTAACAAAAAATAAAAATTAAGCTAATTTATTTATTAACATTATTTGGTCGGTACGTCTTTCGACAGCAACAAAAAATTGTTCTGTTTCACCCTAATATGTGTTTCGTATATAAGTATATAAAACTACTGTAAAATTATTTGTGAAATATTTAATACAATTTACAAGTTCAATTCCAAGGCCATTTAGGGATCGGTAGCTATGGCGACTGGTAAAGCTTTGTTATTTCGATTTTCATTCAATTGTATACTTTTTGAAAGTGTGAATTTTCTTATTGTGAATTTACTCTTGCTCAAAATAATCGGTATGACAATAATAATCAAAGCATTGCCATCATATCTGTATTTTCCTCTAATTTATTTACACTTTGTTAATTATGTAACTATGTAATAATGCTTACTATTACATATATTTTTAATTTAATAATACCATATATATTTTATTGTATCATAACGTATCGCATTGTATCATATTAGTTCTGTAAAAATATTTAATTTTTGTGAGGACCCTTAATGTTAAAAACATATCCATGACTCAATTTTTTTTCCGTGAATCGAAGAAAACATTTAGGGTTTTAGGTTTTTTGAACAGGAAAAAATCTCAGGAAAAACATGTTTGGCGATTAATTGCTATGTATAAATCATATGAAAATTATTTTTGCTTGAATCGATATTACTTGCGTTTACAGGCGGAGAAACGACATAGCTGCCCATGACGGCCGAAAACTTCCGAGCGGTGGACTTGGATACGGCTACATTTAAGGTTGCATCTTACACAGAGTGATTCCGAACTACGTGTGCCAAGGAGGAGATTTCACGGACAACGACGACACCCGGGGCAAATCAATTTACGAAACTAAATTCCAAGACGAACAAATCTTACATATGTTTAATTATACACTATTGTATTTTAGAGATACTTTATATATAACAGAAAGCAAAACACAAATAATGCTATTCTTAGACCAATTGGTTAAACAAATATAGTTGCAATGGAAAATGTTATTAACATTTAACATTAATTCCAAGATGGAGCCCAGGCCACGTCTATAAAGATTGTACAACTCTCTTTAGGGTCCCGAGGCTTCGGTAAAGGTCAAAACAAAAACAATGTTGGAATTGTCATCGCCCGTGGCATTACTTTGTCTAATGCTTCATATGTTATGAAATAAAATAACTAAAACATTATTACAGTTAAAGTATAATATGCTATTCTTTATCTTGTTATTATCGACGTTAAACTAAATATTAGCTGGTGACTCCAGCATAAGCCAATTTCCGACAGTTAAACGATGGAACGTCGACCGATAATTTGCCTTCTTTTACTCAAACTTTAAGACTTTCAAGTGTAAATTATGCTGTTGAACTTAGAAACATTTTTTTTTATTAACCCATATATTCTTTTAACCACGTATTTGAATTTTTATCGCCACCCCAGAAAAGCAGTGCGTTTGCGTGAGGTTAGGGCGGGCGTCGGCTTTGCAGTGCTGCATGAATCAAACCCGGTACCTCTAGCGCACTAAGTTTGATGCCTTATTTTACTGCACCACAAACGTTGACAGGTGTGTACTGTATATTACTGAATAATTTCTTTCTTTCATGAAACATAAATTGTTGGAAAAAAGGAATAAGGTCATAACCAAACCAAAAAGTCAAACACAATTTTTTAAAAATGTTTCTTACCATCTTACAACATACTAAAATAGTTTGCCACAAGAATAAAAGCGTTATTTTCTTCATGTTCTTACACCAGCTTTTCTTCATTATCATTATTGTTGTTTTCCGAACAACTATGAATATAATTAAAATTAATAGATAATGCTCTTATAGATTCAAAATAAGAACCTAATGGACAATAACAAGTTGTCTGATATACATTTTGTTTTGCAAAATATTAGGCAGGTTTGAAAAAAAGGAGATTTCCTTTCGAGTTTTGTTAAAAAAATTTAATAAAAGATTGCAAAACCCAACAGGTTGAGTAGCATATGATTTTGTACACAATACATTAGGGATGGGGTTTGATTTTAAAAATATATGTATATGTAAATCGGACAAACTATTAGTTATAAATACATTAAAAAGTATAATATCTTCTAAGATTTTGACTGGGCATAGTTAACCAAAAACCATGTAGATCAGTTTCTCCAAAAAACGAAAACGATAATTTTAGTTCTTCAACCAAATTCAACATATTATAATTATTTACAAACACACGATGATTGATTTTATAATTATTATAAGTTTTGTACAGGGTCACCTTAAGTCTTAACTCTTTGAAGGGCAAGAAATGTCACTAATATTAATTTATTTAAGGGGCAAGCAAAAAATGATAAAATCAGTAAAGTGATAGGGTAAAAATAAATTTAGAACTATAGGTACAAGTGAAAAATCAAAATAATAAGTAACCACATGCTCTAATGGTGTGTTTAGTTGACTATTTTATGTGATTATCATTTCTAACCAACGCCAAAAACCTCAGAACTTGAGAATTCATAAATTATTTGAGTTTCTACTTGACTGTTCATCAAAATCACCTTATAGTAATCTGAAAATAAAAGCGAGAACAAACAATAGCAAAAGTAGGTACAAGCTTTCACTAGTCATTAAACATATACCCTCCCTCTCCTCCAATCACCAATAATTGACACTTGTCCTATATGCTCTACACTTCTTTTATACTCAATTTTTGTTTATAATTTGTAGGTACTTTTTTTAAATATATTATTTACAATGAATATAATAACATAAAAATAAAATATGTTATAGATGTAATAGAATATTAATGTTTATGAATATTATTTTTTGTGTATTTATCTTACATACGCATTGAAAAATATGACGTCATACTATCAGTAAATAGTATAAAATCAAATATGTTAAGTAAACTTGACTTTTTTTCTTTTGTCTAAATGTCAGGATTTTACCACGCAATTACTTTTTGTTAATACGTTATACAAACAAAATTATTTGCTTAAGATGTTTCGTGTGTCTAAAATAATATTTCATGACTAATGTAAAACGTTATTCCCAGCACTCGAATAATACTTAGCTACATTATTATATTACCATTTCGACATAATTCACTTGTGTAGTAAAACTATTTAAAAATGATCACTCACAATTACATTTTTTTGGCATTATATTTCATATTAACAGTCAACTTTCATATGATTGAGTCAACAAGCAAAGTAAGCATAACTTATTTTCCACAATCTTAAAAGTTCTTTCTTACACATTTATAATTTAGTAAGAACAAACATTCAATCCAATATATTAAAGGTGTATAATAAGTAAGAACTAACATATATTGGTTACCATTTATTATATTTTTGAGATTTGGATTTGATTGTGGAAATTACTACAATTAGTGTCTTGTAAAATAACTTCATGGGCAATAATATTGAATAATAATTATTATAAAAGTACACTTTATAATGGATTTAAACTTGTATAAAACGTAATTTTATCATAATGTTACAATATTGAAATACAATAATAATATTATCGAAATGAAGAGACTTTTATTTAATTTACACTTATTCCTATCTTAATTTTGCAAGTTTTTACAACAAAAAAACACTGTTTACCCCAAAAGAAGAAGATATCTGACACTAAATTTCATGTTAATAAAAAACATTTTTATTTGCCCGAGTTTCAGATGTATCCACGTCAATAGTTATAGGCCGATGTTTCAGACTCTATGCATAGTCCATCATCAAGGCTGTTATAGTCACGATTGTTGGTATTTAATTTGTTAGTTATTCCCGAAATGTGGTTCGTAACTTGAGAATAACTAACAAATTTAAAATAAAAACCGTTTTTAAACTAAATATCGTAATTGGATCATTATTCCGAAATCCGAAAAATAAAATCCCGGTGATGCATACATCTGGTGTGAGTCCGAAACATCGGCCTAGAGCTATTCACGTGGATACATCAGCCAAATGAAATTTCAATCCACAAAAGCGTTCACGCATTCAAAACATTTTTAATTATACAAAGAAGTATATCTGTATCATAAACATAACATAATATCCATACTAATAAATTCCTACTATATCTTAGTGTACAGGGTGATTCAGAAAATGTTTCTTAAAGTTTTAACTATATAATTTTCCCTTGGAGACTTAACAAATATTTAAAAAAGAAATCCCATAATTTTGATAAATTTTTAACTTATTTGTAAAAATTGGTCTATTCAAAATTGGTCTTCGACTTTTTTTTTTAAAGTTTGTAAAATATTTATATACTTGATCATAAAGTTTTGAAAGTTGATATGTGTATAGAATTTACTAAAAATTAATAAATGATAAAAAATAATTATATATAATACATTTAGACATACATTATTTTTTATAGATTTCGCCGTCATATTACAACAGTCAAACATTCTCTCATTCTTACATTGATATAGTGAATACTTTGAAAACCTACAACCAGAACGAAATAAAATTTAATGAAAAAGAACGAACAATTCTGACAACTCCTGTTCAGACTTACAGTAACACCAAAGGCCGCAACACGGTGTTTGATAAACTTGATAAGAAAATCCAAGACATTAAATGTACTTGCTCATTAATCGTAAAAACGAAATTGGTGTACTTGGCAAATATTCTGGATGGGTTGCAAAGAGGTGAATCTATCCAGTTTACATGGGGAGAACTAAACGTTGTGAAGGAAGAGGCGGGTTTTATGCTCCTGTTGTTTCAAAAAGGCCAATACAATGCGGGTAAGTGGTTCTGGAGTTATTATTTCAAAATCATGGCGATCATCGAATACGAAAGCAACAAAAATTTCTTTGAGGAACCCCCTTTCGGTGAAGAGGAATTACAAAGTGATATTACGAATTTCATAAAATATTGCAAGGATAATAAATACCTTCCCAGAAACAGGACAGAGTCTGAATTGGTGTCGAAAAATCCCAATGTACCAAATAACATCTTTCGAGTTCTGCGTGCGTCTGAAATGATTGATATAGATTATGTTAACGTCATGCAGTACATATCGATCGACTATTTGTATCTGAAACCGTTATGGGATGAACACGACTTATTGTTCAGACAAATAACCGGTTCAGCCGTAGAATGGAAGCCGACGATAAGACGATACGCAGTCGAAGTGAATAAAACCAAAGAATACGTTAAAAACCGCCAATGGATATCGGAACCGTTCGGACACCTTAGTTACCACAAGTTGATTAAACAAATTATCAGTGTGAGGATTTACACCTTTCTGTGGGTATTGTTGGTAATATTCAACAACGAAATGCCTAAAATGAATCCTTTCCGTTTAAATCTTGCGTATTTGGATACAATGGGAACAATTGATAGGGTACAAAAGTATATGCACTATACCGAAACTTTATTTTTTGATTTAGTTGCAGCGTTTAATGGTGCAAAGTACGAAGATCCAATAAATTTTGATAGCCTTATAGCTAGAATATCGGAGAGAGTTAAAGACATTCTCGTCGAGTTGAATGGGAGAAGTTCAAATGGAAGCAATTGGATCTGTGTTAATATAAACGAAGACTTTACCTATGATATGATATTGGAATTTCTTCAAGAATTTGACGACAACTTTAGTCAGTTAAATGAAAAGTTAACGATTTTAAACTATGATCTTGCATTAGGTATGCTTGTCGAAGGACACTGATGTTATTGGGGATAATGACCAAATAAGTTATCTAGCATAGCATTTATTATTTTTATTACCTCATTCCATACTAATAGAGTAAGTCTGTCAAATCCTATTTGGTCATTCATTTCCTTTTCTATGAAATCCTCTAAATCTCTTTAGCGTGTTATTATTTTAATTGCTTTCTTTTTTTACAATACATAATTATGAAAAACACACATCGTATTATCTATTATACACAATAAATAATTTAATATTATTTCTATAAGTTATATATTGGCTGTAAAACGGTATGAGGTGAAGAAAAATGGCGAAATAATGTATCTACATAGGCACATAATCTATAGTGTACACGTTGTATTTTTCAAATTATATCTAAAATATAAATCTTATTATCTATTGAACATAATAAATGTTTTAAGTATTATTTCAACATAATGACATACCTATATGAAATTTCAATTTAGTGTATAAAGTAAAATCTATAAAAGAAATTCGTCTTGAAAGTGATAGTTGGTTTCTAACGTTTTTCTGAACGAGTCAAAAGTAACTTAATGTCTAATTATAGTTGCAGAGGTAGACTTAGAGGACGTTGTTGGGGGATCAGATGACCCACCGTTTTTTACGACTTCAAATGGCCTCTGTCATGTCAGTGGTGCTATAATTTTAAAAATATTACACAGATTTATTAATTTTATAAAAAGTATGTTCCTAAAATTCCAGTAAATTTGTTCACTCACAAATCGTCTTTCGTCCACATATGTACTTTTATTTTTTGTTATAAGCTTGTTTGAAATTACCTTGACACCTAAAATTATGAACTATAACGATCACCAAATAAAAAAAATCCTACTGTCTGGCGGGACAAGGCGGATTATTAAAGAAAAAGAGTATTTTATCTTTTATACAAAAGAGTTGCTTGAATGAACTACTAATTAGAGAATGTAGAGAAGAATAACGTAATCCATCCTCAATTGATGACAATGTCCTCCCTCACCTTAAGTTTTTAATTAAAAATGTGTTATTGGGTAGTTGATGAAAAATGATTTGTATTTTATTTGTCCAAAAACCAAAATAAAACAAGTGTAATCGTAATGATCTTTAATAGCAGTATAGCACTTGACCTATTCTCCGATTATGTTATGAAAAAGTATACTTATTATACCAATAACAGTTTTATACTTGAGTATTGGAACTATTTTGTACATTGGGAAATTAAATATTAATAATTGATACTCATTACTCAACTTAACATACTCACAATTTCATAAGTCACGCAAAAAATGTTTACTCTGGAGATTACATTTATTTTTTACTTTTTACTTAATAAACAATTATTTACCTACGCTATCTGCAAAATAAAGTCCGACAAAAAAAGGATGTATGAACTCTCACAATTTTCCGTCCAGAATATATCACAATTATGTACATTATAATTGCGTGCACTTGTATATTAACCTGTCGTTACCCATATTTTTCAATTTTTTTTTCAGTCTTACAACTAAAGTGGTTAAAATATGTGCATAAAAATAATATGTAAAAAATTTAAGATCAATTGGTTAAGTTTGAACCGTGTTTTTGTTTAAATATAATACAAGTTTTTGGTAGACATATCGTTATAATTGCTTTGTATAAAACCATGTAAAAAATATTATTTATAGAAAATTAGATGTATAAAGTAGTTGTATTTTTATAAAACATATTAGCTTAAGGGTTCATATTTTTACGATTACCATTTGTTTATAGGCACGGGTATGAACACCACAATTTGTATTTCTCTTGACCGTTTCTTTTATAAAATGTTTTTTGTTGTACCGTTTAATGATTTGATCTTCACCCAAATTGGAATTTTGGATTAGCATCTACGCTAAGTATTACTGTTTTACTACATCGGATATCGCTTGTTGATCAACTGTGCGGAGTGGAGGGATAATGTAAGTTTCTTGATATATGAGCCTTTTTGTGGTCTTTCATAAACTCGAGTAGCCCGAGTGCATATTTGACAAGTACTGATATTATTTATATCTACCTGATTTCTATGATTTTGCTAAATGAGTGTTATAATGTTTTTACGTCGAATTAAAGAAGAAAATATAGAGTGTAGTAAAACGCCAAAATTATGTTTTTTAGAACAAGCTTGTGCGGTTTCTGTTATGACTACAGTAATGTGTTCGGCTATTTGTTCAGCATTTCGGATCGTAGGAATGAAAAAAAATGACAAAATGTTATATTTTTTTATATATGCAGAATAATAATTAACATTGTTTTATAATTTAGTGTTTTTTTAACATTTTTTTATTCGAAACATTTACAATCTGAATTAATAAATACAAAAGTAAAATAAGTAAATTTATAAGTAAAATGGCTAATTTTTTTTTTACAAAAAGACGACTTGAGTGAAGGGGGAATCTAGTTATACTACTTAAGGTGTGTAAGTTAATGTTTTTTAATCTAGTGTTTGTGTGTGGTGAAGTTTTTTTTAAAACTATTTATTTGCATTTGTGTTGAGGAGATCTCTGGGCCATATACACTTAAGGCAACGTAGTTGGTTATCAGGGAGAGTGAGAGATGATAATTTAGATATTAGTGGATTATGGTGATTGAAAGTGTTGTTGTGGAAGTTTTTATAGAGTTGGGTAGCTAAAGCCGATATTGTTGGAATTTTTAGATCGTTAATGTAGAGTTCGGTTACTGACATACCATAGGATATTAGTAATGAGGCGAAAAGATATTGATCGGAAGGACTGAAGGATTTGGATATTTTAATTTTTTGCTGCGCCCCATAACTGGATTCCGTAAGTCATAGTAAGCTGAATTATTTTTTTGCAAAAGAGATGTTTTGTATTGAGGGGTAGTTTTGATTTAAATAGTTGTCTGATGGAGTCTGAGATTAAGTGCTTTACGTTTTAGTTTTATGTGATTAGATCAGTTAAGTTTTTTGTCTAATTGGATACCCAGATATCTGACGACATTATCTTGGAGGGTATTGTTATGAATTTCTATCGGGGGACTAATGCCTGGACGGAGAGTAAACATAATGTGTAAGGACTTTGTTTGTATTGATTTTAATTCTTCAGAGTTTTAACCAGTTTGGTCAGTCGTCGAGATATTTTTGAAGAGTAGGTATAGGATGCTAAATTTAGGTAGTATTATTAGAATGTGGGATGTCGGAGGTAAAAATATTGTACAAGGTGGGTGCTAATATACGTCCTTGGGACTCTTGCTTGTATTGATTGAAGGTTAAGGTGATCTTAACAATATTGTTTGTTTTCTAGGGACTGAGCTATGATGTCAACTATTCGATGGCCTAGGTGAAGAGAGGAGTGTTTGTTTTTATATCCGAACTGTGTGCCCGGAATTATTTTTAGATTCATTAAAATTGTATTGATTTTTTTCAACAGTATTTTTTCTAGTAATTTTGAAAGCGAGGGTAATAGACTAATAATTGGTGGATATTAGAATAAACAGTCAGCTGGTTTGCCAGGTTTAAGTATAATAATACTTTGTTTCCAAATGGGTGGTATATGAAAAAACGGAGAATAGAGTTTAAAATGAATGTGAGAACCAGGAAATTTCTTATTTGATAGATTTTTGATCATAGAATTTATTTCTGAGGGGGAGTATGATTTGTTGGGAAGGACATAAGTAAGGTATTTGTTAGGGGATTTTTTATGTATGAAGTGTGTTTGATATTATGTATTTCTGGATGTGGAGTGAAGATGTTTTGGAGGTGTGCTGCAAATAGGTTCGCCTTATCTATATTTGTTATTGCTAATGAGCTACCTGGATATTTTACTGTGTGGGCATCTTATCTTTGTGTTACATAATGGTTTTCTCTTGTATTTTCTGATTTTACCAATTACACAATTAGAATCCAACACTATTACAGTTTAAAGTATATCAACATAAAAATATGACGTCATGCTTTAAGTAAACAGTATAAAAGCAATAACTGTTATTATTTTGTCTAAATGTGTGATTTAACCAGACATTTATAATTTGTAAATACGTTATACAAACAAAATTATTTGCTAAAGATGTTTCAAATGTGAAAGTCAAATTTACGTTGCTAATGTAAACCGTTATTCCCAGCATTTAAATAGCTTAGTTACATTATTATAATTCCATTTTGACTAATTGGACTTACGTAGTAAAGCTTTTTTAAAAATGATGGCAAACAACTGTATTTTTTTGTCGTTACACTACATACTAACAGCCAACTTTATGATGATTGAATCAACAAGCAAAGTAAGCATAATTTGTTTTTTCCAGTCTTAAAAGTTCGTTTTTACACTCATATAATTTAGAAAGACCCAACATTTCGCTAGCTGTTCTAAATACTAGAAGGTTAACAAGTAGTACTTATATAGGGTTTTTTAGATCTATTACAACAAAAACCCTACAATTTCTTCCGTGTAAAAAAGTGATAGGTAAAAGCAAATATATTATTTCAGTACCATTAAGATGTGATGCTATCTTGTATTGATTTAAGTTAAGTAAATCAAAAATATTATTTAATATTTTAATAGTACTTGGCGAGAATATTTTTACAAGGATTTGTATGTTTAACGTTTAGTAATTTTTGTACATACTTTGTATCACTAATCCTACGAGAGTGCTACAAGAATATATTTTTTACCTAGCAGTTTTTATAACAAAGTGAAGCACTTTTTTTGTGATATAATTAATTTGATTCTTAACTGTAATGATTAACATAAAGTGATTTTCTGAGGTAAAAACGTCTTGTAAAACAAGTTCACGATAAATTTTATAAAATCCACTTTATAATGGATTTTGTACAGGTTTAAAAGTGTATAAAACTAACTTAATGTGTTCACGAACAAAGAACAACCTATACACGACTACACAACATATTATATAAAAAAAGATTGTTCGCTCGAGGCTACAACAAAATAATTAAATATAGGACTCCTTTAGTGGTCCACTAATATCAATGTAACCATCTGATGGGAATTCGTTTGTAAACGTGCACGCGGGTTTTCACATTTGAGTGAAGCAAAATGCTTCTTATAATTTCACCGAGAGTGTTACAATAATATTGCTCTTCCAATTACAATTAATTTTATGTCTTACACATTAACTAAAATAGATTTGAATGCACGAGTTAGGTATTATTAAAAAAAAACATTTTAAAATGCTCTATATCTAAATATGTAGCATTATATTTAGCTTCAATGCGGAGCATCAATGCTATTGGTTTTATTGGTTTTACAATGATGCGAGCTTTTTTTTATTTGTGTACACTGTAAGTTTTTCAACACTCGACTAATTCCTTTGAGTAGCAACTCTATAAATAACAAATTATATCTAGTCGATACTTTGGGGGGAGAGGGAGGGAAGTTGAAAAGTTCACTCTTCACACCAATAGTCTCAAAT